TACCCTAACCTAACCCTAACCCTAACCCTAACCCTAACCCTAACCCTAACCCTAACCCTAACCCTAACCCTAACCCTAACCCTAACCCTAACCCTAACCCTAACCCTAACCCTAACCCTAACCCTAACCCTAACCCTAACCCGCAAGTTGGCTAGCTGCCTTTCTTTACTACCCACCCTAAACCGTTACCCGCAAGTTGGCTAGCTGCCTTTAACCCTATCCACCTAGCTTCCCACTATAAACGACTAACACTAACCCTGACCTGCAAGTTGGGTTATTTTAACCCTGTTCAACCCTTTTCTTACGAAATAGTTGTTGTGGTTTTTTTTTTCTTTTTCTTTATTATTCCCGTATTACTTATATTTTCTGTATAGTATTCATATCTTTGTTCGCTTTTACCTTACTTTTCAAAGTGAATAGATTTCTTCATCTTTTTCCTTAATTTATCTATTCTTTTTTACGTGTTATCGTCTTATATTTTCCTTTTATAATTTATTACCCTTTTTCCTTATTTTATTTATTCTTTCTCACATTTTATCCTCCTACTTTCGTTTTATAATGTATTACCCTTTTCCTTTTTTTTCTCATTTCTTCTTCTTTGTTCTTATCTATATTTCCTCTTTCTTTTATCTTCTTAAATAACTTCCCCTTTTTTTCCTTTCCTTACGCTAGCCCGCCTCGGCCTATCTTTACTCCTCTTGGTCCTCGTCTTTAACCTGTCTTTTTTATCAAGTACCGGGCCTCCGCCGGCTAGTAAGTACGGGTCGCTATGCTTCCTATACGGACCTTTATCGTCTCTCACTTCTTATCTCTAACTGTGTTCACCCTAACCGGAACCTTCTTCCCCTTCTATTCCTCAACATAGCATCGAGTAACCAGCTTGAACAAATATTTACATAAGTTGTTCGTTTCGTGTCCCGCCCAAATCACCCGCCGCCCCATCCATGCCAGCCACGGGTCCAAGTCATCTTCCGGTCGCACCACTTCGCCTACGCCGTCCCCATTCATCATCTCCTTTGCTATCGTCCATGCCATCTCCCCGTGTGTCTTGCTGATTTCTACCACGATCCGGATCGCCTCTCCTTCGAATTGGCAATGCCATTCTTGTCCCAATTTCTGGAACCTGCCCATATCGTCCCTCTTCGCTTCCCATGATTCGCACATCATCTATAGAATCCCACAATGGCTACAGCCCGAAAACTGTTGCAACATCTTATCTCCAAAAACTCCCTGTCCTATCATTCCTTTCATTTCATCTACTCCTTCCCACTGCCTCCCTCCTCGTAACGGGCAGTCTCCTTGTCTGTGTATCTAGCCCTCCTCACCCTCTAGATATACTATATAGATGAAGCAGTATTCTTGCCACTTGGGCAGCCAATCCCGGAAAAGCGCCCAGTCCCTCCCTTCCTTCTTTCTCTCCCCCTTGGCCCGTTGCCGCGCTAATTCGGCCATGATAAACTGCTCTTCCATGTTGTCTTATAGTAAATCGGTGCTCTCGTCGCCCTCTTCATCGGATAACATCGACCCCCTCTGTTCGCACAAGTCGCAAAAGTTCTCATCCCCTGCGCACCCCTCTCGCTCTATCCCATCCATCACCTTGTCTAGTATAACCCTCCGGCAATATACCGTTTCAAGAAATTCCGCTATATCATCCTTAATAAAATCTCCCGGGACTATCCCCGACCGCTGCTCCTGTTTCTCTCGCCTTCGCCTTTCTTATAGCTGGCGTCTAGACTCGACCCTTGGCGCTTAATAAATCATATTCTCCCGTATCGGTCCCGTACTCTGCCGGATAATAACCGACCTGCTTTCCTACTTGTTACGACCCGCGCGCCCACTCTCTTATGCAAAGTCACGGATTCTCCTTAGCGACGTTACATGAATCACCTCTCGGACGTCGGGCACGTCGAGTCCCACCCCAAGCGCGTTGGTGGCTACGATCGCCCTTCCATGCTCCATCCATTCCTCGAGTATCTCTCGCTTTTGTTTCGCATTTCCCGCTTGGTTGTAATATGCCGGACAATTCAGCCTTCGACTGATGGACTGGGCGCGCACAATGGTTCCATAATAAATAATAATCTTGCCGCTAGGAAATCTTTGCTCGCACAACCGGAGCTCTTCTTCCACCGCTTGTGCCAGACAGTCCTCTACGTCGTCCTCTTCGTCCATGTCCACCTCCTGGACTTGGTAGCGGATATTACCCCGTGTAATTCGACTTCGGAAAACCATCGAGCGGTCCCGTGGGATATGTGCGTGTTGGAAAAACATGGTCTCATCGCGTGGTGCCAGCGTCGCCGTCAAGAAAATCAGTTATACACCCGTGCCTTCGAGAAACTTCCCGATTTCTAAGAATGCTGGCCGAAACCGCGAGTTTTGGCTGGCACTGTCCAGAATCATATAACATTCATCTACCACCATCCGGTCGAGTCGCGAATTTGTCCGCAGTCCCGTCACATACGACGCGAACGCTTTAGTAGTGGCCGACTCTGGTGTCACAAAGATAATAGACGCGCTCCCGGCCACCGGGCTGCTTACACTCCAGACGTATGACTAAATGCGTGCTGCCTCATACCGTCGCACCATATCCTCCCGGAGCGCGACTAGCGGCACGATGACGATAGTCACACCGTCCCCTGCATAGTAAGCCGGCAGCATAAATGACAAGCTCTTTCCACCGCCCGTGCCCACGATTTGCAGTATGGGCGAATACCCACGATGGATCGCTTGAAGCACCCGCTCCTACCCCGGTCGGAATGCAGCCGACTCGTTATCCAACATTTGTCGGAGCCTCCCTCCTAAGTCCACTTCGGCCAGCCTTCTCTGTCTTTTCATCCGACCCTCTGCCGAATGCTCCTCGAACGGCTCGAGCCGCCTCTTTCCGATGAACATCCCCTCAGTATGGCCCAGTCCTAAGAAGCGGTGCCATGTTTTGCTAGCCGCCAAGAACTTGTCCCGCATGCTCGACGTACTAAAGATTTCTTGCAACCCACGCGCATAGATGGCCTCTCCGATATACGTCGTATGGCCGGCCTGAAGATCTTCGGGCCGGTCTTCTTCCGCCCCCTTCTCGTTATCGTCATCTTCATAGACAAACTGCCCATAGCAGTATTTTCGATTGATAGCGATGGCTAATTGCCGCCATAAGCTGATGTTGAACTCGGTACCTAGATAGCGGCCCGAGTGCTCTTTTAGAAGCCTCCTTATGCGATCTAATACCCAAGTCATATGCCCGTCCACACCGTAACGAAGACCGGTCTGCCCGTCTAAGTCCTCTACTCCTTGTTCCTCTACACCCTCCGGCGGCGGCGTATCCCAGAATGGATCATCTCCCCGTACTACCTCATCCCTCGTCTTCTTCGACATGGTACCATAGACAACGGCTTCGGCAAATATGAACGGGCTCTTATAGTCCGCCTTCCGCATAACGCCTTGCAATTGTTGCCAGAATGGTAATGCCAGCCATAAGTACTACACCACGAGCTCGCCGACCTCTCGTAATAGAAACCGGAAGATCATCTTTAGCTTATTCGACGCCTGGTACCATTTATGATACCCGACGACAAGACAAACCATCTTCTAATAGATAAAGATATTCCGGATGCCGCCCTGTCTTGTGTTAAACATGCGCGGACCAAGCATTTCTATGCTCCTCCCGGGCTAGCCGCTAACCATGTGACATAATACCAGCAACCTCCCCCGGATGTCATCAGCTAGTCTGCCGAATGCTTTGGCGGCTTTCTGGCGGATCGGCTGCCCTTATTCACCACGGAACCACCGGTGTTTTAGCTCTAGATGGCTGCTAATCCTTTCTGCCAGCCAACGCGTGCCCTCCACCGGCCATGGATTCCTATCGTCTTGTAAGAACGAGTACCCGATACGGCTGTCGCCATGGTCATCTTGTAGCAAGTCCCACGGGATTTCTGGAAATCCAACGGGCTCTTCCTGGTCCGGGCCCGACGCAAGCAGCAACGCATCGCCCAGCATCTTCCGTGTATCTCGCACCATCTGGTATACCATGGCCCTTAGCTCATTCATGGTAAACTGGATGCGGTGGAACGTAATACGGTCGCCATCCCATTGTATATGCCCTTCTGCTAGCGTAGTATATACAATCTTGAGACCATATGTCCTCGTCGTCAAGATCCAGTCCATTACCCCTGGCTGCGACTTAGCCGTGGCCCTGGTCATAAACCGATCCACCTTTCTGCGCACGTTGACGAACAAGCTCTCGGTAAACTCTCGGGCCTCGTCCACATCCTGCCCGCCCGTAACCCGCTTGGAAACTTCTTTTTCGAGACTCGCCATCGATTGGGCTACGACGGCGATACGCGCGATCTTGACCATGGCAGAATAACGCATCGTATAGTCCTAGGCTTCTTCCCAGCCATTATCACCTCGAATACCCATGACGGCGAGCGCACTAATCACTACACTCTCGTATGGCGATATATGATAATGATGGTCAAATAATGCAACAACCAGATCTCTATAATGCTTGTCCATCTGGTCGCGTTATACATCTGCATCGTCCGCATCGCCTACACTATCAATACTGGACCCAACGATAGCGGACAGTCGATCGAAGATGTTACCTTGTTGCCTTGTAAGCGTATATGCCGGCCTGTCCTCATCCCTCCATTCCTGTGTCCTGAAAATATACATGAGAATCTGGCCGACGAAGATGCAGTACCGGGACCACGAGTCCTTCTCCATAGTGGCTACGAACGGGGTTAATGGCTTAACTTCGGTTTCCCGATACATCTCAAATAACACCGTTGCACCGCTGTCCAAACCGCAAACCCGGTCTTGTGCATCGTGGATCATACGCATAAAGCTTTCCCATATTACCTGTAGCTTCGGCTCTTTTGTAGTAGGTATGCTGATAGACTCTCGCAGCCTCGTCATATGGTCGTCCGTGAGAAAGTCCTGCAAATGCCTCGCCCATCCTACACGGCGTACCCATGGATTGGGCTCCAACTTCTCCTCGGCTACGTTTATAACTTGAAGACTGGTCTTCTCGAAGATCATACGTCTTTCTGATAATTAAAGCAACCCCTTGCTGGCCGGCGATGCAGCGGGCGACCGAATGGCGAGCGATCTCGACGGCGTGGTAAGCACAGCGATTCTCCCCACCTCAAAGTACTGGCTAGCCTTCCTGTTAGGAAAAAAGCGCTGGCATCGGACATGTTCCCTCCACGGCACTGCTACGTAATGGTTGCCGTGTTTCTTCTGTCCACCTCTTTTACGATCGTTCGACCAGCCGTGTTCCTTGCGGTAGTGCTCTTGTATTCCTTTGATATTTCGCACTACGTATCGACATTCGTTACATCCGAGTCCATCTTCGAACGGCTCGCCTAATACGGGGATGGGGGCAGAATGTGGATCGGGGAGAGTAAAATGGTCGAGTTCTTATTACGTTCGAATGATACCGGGCAATTATCGGATCGTTTCGCCCGTCTGTTTTCGTGTGGGTCCAAGTATATGGTTGTGCACATCGCTAGAAAGATGCCTCTCGACTTTATCGCCAACACACGCATGTTGGCATTGACTACACACTATAACACGGTGGTTAGGCAAGTAAATAAATGGTCGGATATTGGCCATAATAGAAAAGTCGGATGCTAATTAGGTCATAAAGCTAATATTGAAACTAGATTAACTAACGTAACGCTTATACAAATGTTACTATAATCGTACACTAAATAAGTATAAGACTAAAATTGAAAGAATCCTACATTAAATTCTTCCATAGCGGGACTAGGAGCTAGCGGTCTACGCTGCAATATTGTGCCCCCGTTTACTCGGGCCATATTGACCTTACTACATCCGGTGTAGCTTTATGGCACTAGCGCCCCCATCGAAACGGACAGCACGAATTTCAGTTGAAAGAATTCTACGTAAAACATGGTCGTATAAGAAAAAGAAGATCGGTTCCTATATCGCAAAGGTTAGGGCGTCCAAATGTCAGTCTCGAAAAATGAATTATGGCAAGTTAGTTGAAAGAATCCTACCCCCCAGATTGAAAGAATCCTACCCCATGTAAATTTGTTAGTCCGTGCAATTAACCATACAAAATGAAAGAATTCTACGTAGGATTCCTTCAGACTACAGGTTAGGTACTGTCAAGTAGTATATAGAAGTCTAAGAGTATAAAAGAGAATATTGGTGTATAGAAAGTGGGCGTATACCCACTGGCCTAGTCACGTGATCACCACTTCCCAAGTTTGGTGATCCACGAGCTCGTCGCCTTAGTGTACGGAGTGCTCTCCGTATACTGCGGACATCTATAGCCATCTATATTGCCAAAATACTTCTTTAAATAATTATTCCTCGTCGTTTATAATATAAATCTTAACTTGAATAAATTATAAGTAATAATCATTTATAAAAAAGTTCGCTTAAATATAAAAAAGTTATATCGCGATATATAAAGTGTTAATATACCAAAGTTATAAGGAATAGGCTGGCGAAGTCGGATTCTAATGCCTCCTCGCGGCGCCAGCTGGGAACCTCTTCAATTTGATATTAAATCAAAGAAAGCTAAATTAGCCTTCTTGACTGGATCTCCGATTGAATATTAGGCTGTTTGCTTTTAGAATGGCTGCTATAGTGCTATAGTTGAGAAAGCCTTCGACTTAGCTCCTTATTTGTTCTCTATAGGTGGAAGGCGAAATGGGTGTCACAAGTGCGCTTAAAAGCCACTGGCGCAGAGTTCATATCAACGCCGTCTGTAACAGCACCAGAGCTATTCATAAGAAGCTGTGAGGACGAGAAACCGGCGCCATGTATTGCACTATCTCCGTCACAACTCAATGGGCAGGGCGATTTGCCGACATAGAAAGAGGTTGGGGTACGGGTGGTGTTTGGAGGGGATAGATTGAAAAATGTCCAGTTCTGTGCAAAGCATAATAGCCCAGCGCCTAGCCCCGCGGGTTCGTGTCTGAGCCATTCCTCACCTCCTCTATCTTCCGTCCTCTCGGCCGCAACCCAAACGAAGGAGATGGAGCTCACCCCATCTGGCGCAACATCCTCAGTTGTACTGAATGTTCTCGACGAAAAGTCCAGTGTACACAAGTTCTCCCTTGCAGTGGCTGTGTGGATGCTGGCAGGCAACACTTATGCAGGCGGAAGGCTTTTGACACTGAGAAGCTACACACAAATCGTTGGGCTAGTAGGGGTACCCCCATACAGAATTCTGCTTCATATGACGTCCAACACCGCTTCAGCATGATCCGCCCACGCGAACGCATGCAGCTTACCACAACGGATCTACAACTGCAATGACATGATCGTAATGAACAAGAGGGCGCACAGGAACAAAGGATATACCCCTACTTTTCTATAGAGCGAACAGGCCGACAACGAATGGGCATCGCGTTGCGCCTTTTTGGTGAAAAGCCAATGCCGGAAATAATACTTAGAAAGAAAATAATGCTCGTTGCCTAGCAGCATGGGGAGGTTTCAACTGGATTATGTGAGTAACTACTTACGACGCCACAGTATAGTGCTGATATTATAGGTTTGTTTATCTGTTTTATCGAAAACCGAGTTCGGAAACACCTATTTCCCCTCCTGCTCTGTCTATTCCCGAAAGAAAGTGGTTCGTGGTTCGACAATCAGGCGAAAATTCAGATCGAGATGTTGAAGTCATGACCAATATCTTCCAGGTGGTCTGCGAGTTCTGTGGATCATTCAACGAACATGCTGGATCAACTTACCATACTATGAGAGTCCTTCGACCAATCCAAGAGCGGAAGTGATAGAGTACCACTTTCATGAACTCATTGCTTGGGTAGAGACCTTATCCCCTTCCATGCTACGGCACCAGAACTGTTCCCATCATGTGACAGTGTTTCAGCATGTTATCGCTACCCCATACACTACATTTCCCTGGCTTTTGGATTCCCATATTGTACTATCAACTAATTAGGAGTAGCATATGGCTACATACAGCTATCATAGCTATGCTATGGCCGTATATCGGCCTGAACCCCAACCAAAAACGTCGAATGAGAACTTTTGCAGCGCCAGCAAGCTTTCCCGATAGATATTATGCTTCTTCAGTTAATCAACTTAAGTTTCTTGTTGTGTGTTATCGGACTAATCATGTAGCGGCTTTGTAATCCATCGTTTGGCACACTGGCCTTCTTCATCTCGCCAATGCTACCTTACATAGCACTAACGATCCGGAATGGTGTCTTTATTTTCTGCTTTGTATCCGCGGTTATGAAGGCTTGAAGGGCTTATTTCCGGTATCTGCAGTATCAACAAAGGTTTGCTATCAATGACAATACGTTATACCAAAACGCCAGGAAAGGAAGCCCGTCAGATACTAGATTAGTTGAATAGGAATGGTCTACATCTCGTCACAATTGAGTGTGAGAAAAAAATTAAGGCCACCTTCATGGTTGATTTCCACCTTGCCCCTGGAGAGGACGAACCGCAAATACCCAAAGAATCCTTCATGGTCGCGGTTGGCGTCCAGATTCTGACGCGAGTCACCGAGAGTCAACAGAGTCTCTACGTGCTGGCTTGCTCGACGATGAACAAGCCGCCAAGTTCTCAGCCGGATCTTATGTTAATAATCGCTACAGGGCATATCACGTGCGGCGTTGGCCATGGATCTTTTCTACCGGCGTGTTGGCCCTCACCGCTGCTGGACTGTTCATAGACTACTGGAGAACGAGGACAACGCTATCTCGCTATGCTGGAACATGCGCCTTCGACATCGGTGTGTAGGATCAGTGAGTCTGCCATTTCAAGTCGTCTGAACTACATTAGTAACTGCCACAGGTCCTGAATTTAGTGTCATCCAACTCGAACCCAAACTCTTCGACGGCGCTCTATCCTACAACTCGACAGGCGATCTGGCCCGAGAGCACGCGCCTTATGAGAGAATATGGGTCGGAGATCCAGGCCCGGAGATGGACCGTCTATGGGATCATGTTGAAGCTGGTACAGTCTTTTGGTGCTCTTGCTGGTTGCTTTGATACTGATGTTAGCCAGTTGCATATAGCATCGACAGTACTCTTCCAAGGCGCCGAGGCCGACCTTGTGCGGGATCGTACAACGCTTGGGAACGGTTACTAGGTAACAGGTCTCGATGTTTTCCACCAGGTCCATTGCATTGTATGCTCTGTCCATGAGATTGGGTCATCTGTTTACAGAGCTGACTTGTGTCTAGAATCAAGTACGAAAAGCCCTTTATCCGGAATACTATCCTCCCTCCCAGAGCAGTCGAGCACACAAGCTTCATTGGGGTAGGTCTCCTCTCCCATTGAACTACGCCTGTGACTCGTTGAACCCGTGGTCCAGGTTCAGGTATACCGTCTAAGACTGACACTAACAATGAAAATCTGGCAGAACACTGCCTCGACTACGTGCGACAGGCCGTCATGTGCAATGCCGACACCACCCTTGTGACTCATAAATGGTTCGAGTCGGCACAGACGTTTGGACCCAATTTCCGCACACAGCACACATGCAGAAACTTCGATGCACTGATGGATTGGTCACTGGCGAGGTCACCGAACGTGCGGGCACAGCAAGGTCCCGGCTCCGAGGCTGTCGAGGACGAGACAATGGTCATGTGGGGTGAGCGCCTAGAGAAAACAAAGGCCGCACTGGGCGTCAGTGGTCATGGACATCACAGCCCCTGAGAAAGTAGATCACGATGTGAACTAAGACCTTGCATTGGCCCTCCAAAGGGATAATACAGTGCCTCGTTGTGTTGGAAGTGCTCATGTACCTTCGTTTTTCCAGTAGAGAATTTACCTCAAGTTATCATAATTCTAGACTGTGTCTTCTGGTTTACAAATGGCACACTACAAAGCAGGATTGATTGTTGGCTATTATGTAGGGATAGTACCTTTGATAGGGTTATTCCACTGGAAAACTTATATCAAGTAAGTTTGGAACTAACAGTGAAACCTGGCCTGTGCTGTAGGTATTGTTATCACCCCTGCTTACGCAGAAGAAGTCTCGGGTCTTCCACGTTGCACAGCATAGAGCTTCGCGAATGCCCCATCAACCCTTGCCAATAGCTCCTCTGGCTCACCATACTCAAGTAACACGCCCCCATCTAGAACAACAACCTTATCAAATCTACGGACACCAGCGAGACTGTGCGTTGCCATGATGACAGTGCTAGTCGCAAACTCCGACTCGACGATGGCTTCTATGTAAGATTCGGTGCTGGCGTCAACACTGTGAATTATGAGTGATACTTAGTGTCAGCTTTCATACTGCATCATAGTATCTATTTTCAGATATGAACGCAAGGAGAGGGAGGGTCTGTTACTTACCCGCTGCTCGGCTCATCTAAAACCAGGACCGGGTTCTTGCGCAAAAGCGCACGGCCGAGACAGAAAAGCTTTCTTTGCCCTTGGGACAAGAAGTCCTCTTCCATCTTCATATCAAGTGTCGAGAATTCTAGAGGGTGAGAGGTCTCTGTGCTCTCCTTTGATCGGAAGACATCCCATAGCCCAACCTTCTGCAGGGCAGAGATGATATCAGTATCTGTAGCCTCGCCATACGGATCTGCATTCAGTCTGACACTCCCGCCAAACAAGAAAGGGTCTTGTGTGAGACATGTGAGCTTCTGGCGGGTGACATCTTTAGGTACTAATGCAAGATCGACATCGTCTAAGACAATCCTCCCGGTAGACTCCTCGACCATGCCGAGCAGAGATAAGAGAAGTGAGGTTTTGCCACTTGTGGCACTTTCGTTAGCAAGTTTCTCGTCATAAGACTTGTGGAATGATTTATGCTTGTGACTCTTACCTTCCTGTCCTGCCGCATATGGCAACTTTCTCCCCGGCCTGAATCGAAATATCGATGTTGCGAAGCACGGGGTGACTGTTGTATGATGTTAGCTACTGCTTAAGACTGGTACAAAACTCCAGAAAGTATAAAGTGAGATATAGATACCCATTATAGTGAGCCGACCAATTCTCAATCACCACCGATCCTTGAGACGGCCAGCCAGCGAGAATTCTTGTATCCATAATCTCGCGAGGTTTCTCGGTCGGGGTATCCTCGGAGAAAGTCTTCACGCGCGAAATGGCACCCAAGGACGTCTCAAGCAAAGTCCAAAAGGTGATAAGGGCAGCCAAGGATTGGCCAAGATTCATCATGCTGACAAGGGCAACGCCGAGGAAACCGGCGTCCAGTCTGCTGCGGAGCGTGAGGCCTAGGGTGGTGAGCAGTATCGCGAGCCCAGCGACCGTCAGTCCCAATACAAGAGTCAGCCATCGTTGAATGCAGAGGAGCAAGTAATAAGGCTTCTGGGCCCTGTCGAGGAGGGCGAGATTCTTGGCGACGTGGTTGCTCGTCCAGCAATATGCTCGGATAGTGGCGATGCCCTGGAGAGACTCCAGAACGTGAGAATAGAGAGGTGCTTTCGCTTCCAGGCTAAGCCAGCATTAGTACTTCATATCCTTTGCAAGGTAACAATAGGCATTACTCTAGTAGTCGAAGCTGCCGAGATGTTCTTAGATAAAAGCGCTGGAGGAAGAAGAGAGCGCAGGCGACGAAGGGCAGTACAGCTGCGAAGTAGGAAACAGCGACAATGGCCAACGCTGCAACTGCGAAACACGCCGCAAGCTCTATGATTCTCAAATTAGCGACCAGCTTCCTAGAGGATTGCGTTAAAGTTGCTACGGACGAAAGCTCGCATTCACGAGTGCCCCAGGTAGGGTCATGTCAACCAATTGCATGTCTTGACTGAATCTGTCATGGGAAAGAAATACTTATGGGTTAGTTCATACTCTTGTTGTCTTACGCGAAAGTCATGACATACCTGTTAACCAACACCCCATTGTCGGTCTTGGCGAGAAAAGACATCGGAGCTCTGTCGTTACCGTAAGAACATGAACAATCCACTGGCCACAAGAATTCGGCGATCTTACCGTATAACTGCCCGAAGCACAGTCAAGTGGAGAGCCTGTGCAGATTTGGGTACGATCACCACGTACATGTAGCTGGGTATAATCATTAGCATAAGTAGGAGCCTCAAGCATGATGCTCGGTGAGCCTCCAGGCTTTGATAAGTCAGGTTCGACACCGTAGGAGAAGAAGAACTCACTGGACCGCAGAAATAAGACCTGCCGCACTCAAAACACTAAAAAGTGCATATAACCCAAGCCAGTAGCCAAGACGTGATGGTTGCGAAGCGTCACTGCTTTGGGCGAACAGTGTGATCCATGCATCTGTACTCACCCACATCAGCTTCCGAGCCTGACTTACTGCGGCTGAGTGGCACTACAACAGTACTGATAAAAGGGGGGCAGATCTGATGGAAGAAGAAGCATGCTTACATTGCAAGGTGCTGAATGCCACGTATGAAGCTGCGAAGATACCGAACAAGGCGAAGCTGAGCCATCCCAAAGACGAGAAGTAGTATAGATAGATGGACAAGTCTCCCACCTGTCTCTCGTCATCTCGTTTCGTGCTTGAGCCCTGAGTTTCACCAGCTGAAACTTTGGGAGGTGGGCTATCTCCTGAGCTCGCCGAAGAGCCATCGTCTCCGGCTAGCTGTGGCGCAAGAGGCGCCATATTATCAGATGAGCCCTGCTGGATGATTTGTCCTTGGTCGTCAAGTATGATAGTTTGGTCTGCGATGGTGCATAGGCTCACTGTGTGTGGTCGTTAGTAGGTTCGACACGTTTTCCCAAACGCTCTATGAGCTGCTATTCAAAACTTCATTGTTACTCACCAGAATGCGTGGCCAAGATGGCTGTCATGCCCAGCTTCCGAATCAGTCCATCGGGTCCGAAGACACGCGTGGTGACGATGTCGTGGGTGGCGGCATCCAGGCCACTCAGTACATCATCCAGGACAGCGATAGGCTTGCGCGCATAAAGTGCCCGAGCTAACGTCTGTTTCATCTCAGTATCAGTATACAATACAATATAGTCAGGCGCCGAGGCAGCTCTTACCAGGCGTTGCTTCTGCCCACCGCTGAGCGAAACCCCTTTGCTCCCGACGTTCGTCGCATCGCCGTTGGACAGCTGCAGCAGATCCACTTGTAAAGCGCAAGCGTGGATGACAGTATTGTACCAGGCAGCGTCGAAGTCAGTTCCCGAGACAATGTTTTCTCGGACGGAGCCGTTCGAAACCCACGGGCTTTGATCGCAATAGGCTAGCTCCTTGCTACTGATCCAGACGGAGCCGCTGAATATGGTGGCTTCACCGAGAATGGCCTTTAGAATTGTAGACTTGCCGCAGCCGACTGGTCCCAAAATGACTGTGAGATGATGGTTTTGGCCAATGCGCAGTGATAGGTCTTTGATTACATGGCTGGAGCCTCCCCAGCCAATGGTAGCATTATGGATGATCACATGGTCGGAGATAAGGATGGTACGAGGAAGAGGCTCTTTTGGTGTTGATTGTGGACGTTGAATCATTTCCACATGGTTATAGCCCGAGGGCATCTGAATCGTGTCCGACCTATCGTGGCTCTCCAGATTCGTTGTTTCCAGCGGGCATTCAGGCAGTCGTTTGTCGTCCCAGGACTCGCTATCAAGAAAGTCCTGGATTCTCTGAAAGCAACCCAAGGCAGCATATGCCTGAGGAATCACCATCAACACCGTGCCTAGAGGCGCCATGAGGATGGAGAGAATGGACAGGGATGTGACTGCCTGCGACACCGTCACGAAGCCGTTACCCTGAACTCTGGCGGCGATTGCAAAGGTCGTAAATGTGAAGAACTGGGAGAACAGCGACGGTAGGTTTACTGCGGTTCATTAGTGCCCGCGCTGGATCAACTTGGAGGTGCGTTTCAGCTTACCAAGGCAGATATTGAAGCTGGACAAGCGCCTGAACCTCTTGGAGAGGTCCAGTTCAGTAACACGCATACCCTGTATGAGAGATTCAAATTTTCTGCTAAGGCCCAACATCTTGACACTTCTCATCGAGCCTAGGGCATGTGCGGTAAAGTTAATCCTCGCTTGAATTGCCTCGAGCCAGACCTTCTGGCGGGGATTCACAAACCCAGCCGCTTTGACTGACAGGGCGGTCGCCACTACCAAGTCGTGAAGTTAGCAACATAAACCAGTGAATAAAAGCCACTCTTAGCCCATTCGACATGAGTACATTGACCTACCCAAAGCAACAATGACTGGAGTGACACAAACGGGACCGATTTGCATCTGTAAGAGCCACACAGCAAAAGCAAGCTGGATGACACTCGCCCAGCTTTCGGCGACCACAAGATGCCACGTCTCGCAGATTCGTTCGACGTCTGTACCAATCAAGGTCATCGCAGCAGAGTCACCGACTTGCGTCGACGGCGATTGCACAATCTTCTCATAGATCAGGGAAATGAGGCCGCCCCTGACCATAGCCATGAGTCGAAAGGAAAGGTGCTGATAAAAGCCTGTCGCAATCTTGTGACACACATGACTGATCAGCAGTAACCCGGGCGGGAGGAAGGAAGTTGAGCTTACGGGTATCCCTGTATAGACTAAAGCCACAGCACCGATCAGGCCATATCCTTGGTTCCAAGTTTGCTGACTGACAGGAGCCGATATAGTCTCTACGATCTGGTGGATGAGGAAAGGCTGTGCAAGGCTAAGTGCAACCAGACAAAGACGAGGAAGCGCAATCTTGGCAAGTTCCAAACGCCAGGCCGAAAGCGTAGCCAGAGCTAAGGCGTGCTTGTGCCGATTGTGGTCTACTTTCTCTGACGCGTGAGGCAAGGTCAGAGTACTAGACGACAATTTCGGTGCAAGAGGGCTTAAATAGTTCTCACTTTTATTCATCCATCGAACCTGTAGCTCACTCGAAAGCTTGGAAGATCTAAGCTTTTCATTGATGGACTCGAGATCTTCAACGGCCAAGATGCGCCGGGATCCATCAGAAAGCAAGTGTCTCAACCACCAAAAAAGCCCACGACTGAGGAGGCCACTTGTTGCCTCGCGTGAGAGGCTACGATACGCACCAGCCAGGATTTTCCTTTTGTTCTTGGTCTCTAGGACGAGAATCAGAACCTGGACGGCTAGAGCAGCGGTGAGAATAGCTGGCATGAGATGTTTGTCCGATGCCATGAGCCAGGCGGTTCGGACACGCGCGCCGTTCAGGGGTAGTGAAATTATGAGATAACCAGTGATTATGAAAGATGGCCGTGGGCTTTTGCCATGTTGAACTTGGGACAGGACAGCGAGGGCGAGAGCGGCGCAGAGACTTAACACGGATGAGGCCAGGGTTGCGCGAGTGGTGAATCCATGTCCCGAAGCCCATAAGATCAGCAAGGCTAAATTAAGTCCGGCATAAACGAGAGTCGATACCTGCCAGCCTATGTTAATGACATGAACTTGCTGATAATTACAAAAAAGTGTAACAACAATGGTGACCGAGAAGTACGAACGAGTTTGAACATCGATAGAAGTAGTGATGGCCTCACAGCCGAAACGGCTTTGAAGATACGGGCCACCTGAATAGGGGTAATCAGGAGAAACCCAGCCGACAGCGGGATAGACAGGACGCTTTCTTCGAATAGCACTATGGAAAGATCATGTCAGTGACTAGCCACAAAGTATCGCATTATCATTCAAGGGCTGCGTACCTGTGAAGTCGAACCCGCCTCGACAAGACTCCGTGGCGACGGCTGGCCCGAAAAGCTCATCGTGGCAGACATTCGACACATTATTCATGCTGGGTCACAGAGTATTGGGTGAAGCCTGGTAAATTATTAAAGGTTTCGTTGGTAAAAGCGGGTGATCGTATGGCCAGGAAAGGATCTGGTCCTCACGGTACTAGTTCGGCTTTGAGCGAACACAAGGACACAAATGAAAGCGGAGCTTCCCGAATCTTGTAAGGTGAGGAATGAAGAGAGGCACCGTGCAATCCTTTTAACAAACGTGGGCACGTACATAAGCAATGATCGGCAACCAGAGCCCCTCACGGCTTCACTCTGATTGGTTTGAGTGGGTGGGTCCGGAACGGGTCCTAGGGGGGTATGGGAGTGATAATATATGTCACAAATACCAACTGCGCTAACAGGGGCACATTGCATTTGTAATACGGCACCGCTTGTCTAAGAAATTTAAAAGCTATTGCTGTCTCCAGCCACGATACCTAACTTTAATCACTTCACAAGTAACGATCGTGTATTCATCTCTTAGTGTTCAATCACTATCGTACTTAACCCCGCCTAATCGGTACCCTCCAGTCTCTAATCCAATCACTTTGCGCACCATTAACGAACTTAGCCAACATGCCGACGACACAACCCCCAAAGGTTATTTTCGGAAGCAATCCCTTCTTTGGAGGCGATCGCGATACCCACGAGAAATGGCTTGATTTTCTTCAGGAAAATGGCATTGAGACCATCGACACGGCTCAAGTTTACGCCGAGTCAGAAGTGAATCTCGGCAATATCAATGCACCATCGCGTTTTACCGTAGATACAAAGGCTGCAGCTGGCTTCGGCAAACCTGCCACCAAGGATGTTATTCTAAAGTCAGGCCATGAGAGTCTGAAGAAGCTCAACACTCAAAGCGTGAGTACTACTAGTATAGAGCCGCACTACTCCTCAACAGACCAAGAAAGCTGCTTTCGGCCCCACCAGCTCAAATCTCCCTTACTGACACCATGTTCATAGGTTGATATCTACTACCTGCATACCCCTGATCGCCGGGTGTCGCTCGAGGAAACACTCGAGGGCGTCAACGAGCTATACAAGGAAGGCGCATTCAAACGTTTCGGCATCTCCAATTTCCTGGCCCATGAGATTGAAGAGGTCGTTCGCATTACCAAGGAGCGCGGCTGGGTCCGCCCATCCGTCTACCAGGGCAACTATTCGGCAATAGCCCGTCGTACCGAGACAGAGATCCTACCTGTCCTCCGCAAGCACCGGATCATATTCTACGCATATAGCCCGATCGCTGGCGGTTTCCTTGCCAAGACCAAGGAGACTTTGACCTCCACCCAGCGCTGGGATCCCGAGTCGGCCCTCGGCAAACTCTATATCGCGTTGTATCATAGGCCCAGCTACCTTAAAGCTCTGAACACCTGGGGCCAGATCGCCAAGGATGAGAGGATTTCGCAGAGTGAGCTGGCATACCGCTGGGCTGTCCACAACTCGAGTCTGCGAGGAGATTTGGGTGACGCCATCATTATCGGTGCGTCGAAGATTGATCATTTCCGAGAAACCCTCAATTGGATCAAGAAAGGGCCATTAAGCAGTGATACAGCCAAGAGAATTGACGAGATCTGGGAGTCCATCAAAGACGAAGCCCCATTGAACAATGCGGGCGATCTTTGAATTCATAATGGATCATGTCGGCCTTCGGAACGTCTGTACGGTCGGGCCGTCGTCGCATTGAAGGGACTTCGACATCTAGACAGCACAATACTTAGTGACTTGCCAAAGAGCATTACATGCATTAATTGATTAATCGCCCAATAACGTCACCTGACTCAGATTGGCTGCCAGCCGTTTCACTGACTCCTGCAGTGCGTTTTCAGATTTACAAATCCGTGACAGAGTGGATAGCCATCTTCAGGGTCTTTTGGCACTGCTATCATTCCCAGTAGCTCGTCAATATCGTTTCCAGTGTCGACAGTTGCTTGATCAGTCCACCAGGATCCAATATCAAGCCCCTTTAGATCAGAATCTTCGACGTATATTTGGAGGATTATCCTCGAATACTTGTTTATGGGCGTTCGAATGCGACGCTACCTGTGAGAGGTGTAGTCAATATAGGTTTCAATTGACTATCCTATATGACGAGTATTGCGAGCCTAAGGAACAAAAGTTGTCTAGGATACAGGATCAAGATTCACTTATATACTTGGAAAAAGCAATTTATAACGCGGAGAAGCATCGCGGAGTTTCGGTGGGTCCCTTGGCTGAGGGCATCGCCAAACGCAACTATACAGACAGCCTGTGACACTCTTGCCCCCATAGCCGATATCAGTGAGTAACGAACGTCAGGCTTAATTTTGCTGTGTAATTGTGGCCCTTCGGTCTTCATGGTACGCTATATCTCAACATTTATAACCGGTTTTGTTGGATGCTCAAGTATAAGGTTGACACCGCTTCATCATGCGCCGGAGCAGTTGACCATCTTATTAGCCACATTCAAGTATAGATAGTCGCCAAGAACTATTCCACGAAGTTGTCCATGGACTTCATCTCATCCAGGCTAGCGAATGATTTGGCGCAATGGACCATATCGGAAACCAACTTCGACGTCCAATTTGGCAGGCTTGTCAAATATATATATAATGGCCCGGTTGGATTCGGTTCATTGGCTCCCACATTAGTCCGTCCGCAAGGTTATTCTCCCACAATCCTGCGAAGTATCGACAACCAATGACTTCACTCAGAACAGCGGCAATGCCTTGCATAGCAGCGAGTCTATCGCTCTCGTACGTGAGACCAAGGACAGAGTACTCGCCTATCAAGTTTCCCCAAGCTCTGAAAAAGAATCCCTCCATCGTGTCTCTTTGCTTTCCGTGAAGCAAACGGATGATACCCCATAATCTCATGCTATGCATGAGGTTGGCTGCTTCTCTAGCGCCATCAGCATTATTCTCGCCGGCTTCTGAGTATCTGCACGTTCGACAAGACCAGTAGATTTGTCTGCCTGAAAAGTCTATGATACGAGGAGACAAGATCCGTTCTTGCTTGACCGAAGCTCGTCTCAACAGGAAACCTTTCTCCACATCCTCCGCGAAAGCCTCTCGCATATCTATTTGTTCTTTGAAGTAGATCTTTCTCTGACCGGTAGAAGAATCTCTTAGGGGCTTAAAACAACGGCAATGCCACTCCCATTGGCTCGACGAAGGAAACCTCCGCGGAATCGCTAGCTGACGAGGCAGCAATTGTTAAATAAGCATTGCCATAGATTTGGCTCATTTTCTGTGACTCTTCTTTCCAGTCTTCGCTACCTGGTTGTCGCTGAATGATACACAGGGCATCAACCCATAAGTATTGGACATGCAATGCGCGTGCAACCTTGACAGCATATTTTATGGTTTGAGAAAACAAAGCCAGCTCAACTCCAACTTGCATCTGACCCAAGTTGTCATCGGTTGTGATCATGCCGGCATGTGTCTTACCCCAGCAGTAACTGAGCGCAAGATACTCGCCAGGGATGTTATTCAGGATAACCAGACGGAGATGTGATTGCCCCGTTAGCCCGACATCCATAGGTCGTTTCGGGAGCAGACTATTGATCTGCTGGCCAGGCAAGGGATGATTGCAGGCGTCATGACTTCTTTTGCATTCGTCAGTCCATCGCAAGATCCTTGATATGTTGTATATGCAGAGGAGATTATCTTGTATCCCTCTATCAATAGCGGATAGCCCTACAACACCCAACCCCTCAGCGATCGACCCTAGTAGAGTTTCATCAGTCACATGTTGGTAGTACTCATATTGGGAACAAACCTGGATCACAAAACATTGACAAAGTTGGGTACCCCGCGCCATAGAATACTCGGTCTCCAGTAGGCCCTAATGTAACTGCCACTTGCAATGATAGCTTGCTACTCAAGACAGGCCCTGGTATACGTGCCCACGAAGACCTATCAGAGTCTAAATCTCGGCACGCAGCATGCAAAGCTATAGGGCCCAGACGACTGCAGTCATAGATACTTCGAATTGGATGGATAATACTTCGATACATGTGAATGCTTCGTATAAATAAATTCGTAATAGACTTGCATAGATCGCAAGTGTGCGCACTTTGGACGAGTGAATCGCAGGTTGAATGATGGAGAAATCCATGGTCGCTTTTGAGGTCCTCTAGATTAATTTCTCGGCATAAGGTGCATAATTCAGGCTCCTTTCTCAACATTTGCATGGCCATTGTATTCTGATATTATGGTGTTGGCGGGGAAGCAGGCTAGAGTGAAGGCAGCGGGCTATGTAGTGCCGTGGGATCTTATAAATGCGGGGCAACACACCATGTCGCGCTGGGAGCCAGCACGACTGTAACCAGAGGCATTCCGTGTGTCATTGTACGGCAGCAATGATGTGGTCTGAAAGTAGGGACATCTTGGCTATTAAGAAGCACTGCACGAATGGCTAACATGAAGGGGTTTGCATCGTACTGGTATGCTCTACTCTGTGATTGAATCACTGGCAACAAGCAGGGAATACAAATCTTATATAATATATTCTCCGAACAATCACCTTAAAGTTGTTCTGTTAGTCAAAAATCGCTAGTCGGTGCCAAGGGCACTGAAGTCATGCCTTGAAGAGAAGTCTCATCTTGCTGATAAACGACTCCGCCATCGCCATGATTAGGGACAGTATGGATGGTATAATTGCGGTTGGATGCCCTCTTCATCCCCATACCATCAGTCCACTGACGCATCCGCGACTTGGGAGGCTGCGGGTGCGGGCAGTGAGTGGGTTGAACCCGTCAGCAGTCGTTAAATAGGAGAACAGAACTTTTGGCTGGCACAATACCATCATATACTGTAACATATATGCATTTAAGAAAAGATCTAATATTGGCTTCAAGTAACCAGTACGTAGAGATTATGAGGGGTACTTGGTCAGCAGTTCGACCCACTCAAAATATCCCTGCTTCTAAATTCGATATAGTGTAAAAAGAGGACGCTGATTTCGCTACGTACAGTAAATGAATGCCTTCTATATCTTTTCCTAACGCTTTCTACGTGAATGAAAGGTTGTTCATCTGACCAACGTGTGTGGATGGTCCTCGCCCAGCTTCTTCTTGCGAGTCTCCATCTTTGTTGGACCTCTGGGCTGTTGGTCAACGCGTTTATATGGATGACTCCCGATCGGCCGCCGCTCTCTTGTCGCTTGAGTTTGAACCTTTGTTTGAGAGCTGCAAAAGAAGGCATGTCACATTGGGAACACGATAATATAGATGGTTGGGATTAGAAGTCGAAGGTTGTTAGGGGGACCATCTTAGAGGAAGTAATACGAGGCTATCGCTACTTACATTGCAAAGCCTCTGTGCTGCATCTTTTACGCCTCAAAGTGCCTGTTTCGATATGCATGTTGGCGGCATAACCAAAATTCGCCTACACGAAGATGTACAATTCCTTGTCCGGTGCGATCGCTCTTGCAGGTGCGAGTCCTCGTAGGGCACCATACGCTTCCGCGTTGGAGATCCCCACTAAATTCGATTCAAATTATTACTCTGTTGCCTTTACGGAACCACCACATAAAGAAGTTGATGGTTGGGTGTAATTAGAAATCATTAGTTTAAATTGATCATTCCACGAGTTTTGGATACCGTAACGCACCAGAGGCTAGCCATTCTTGTTCTCCTGCCCAACTCCCCTGTTTTCCTGATTCATTGCCTGGCGCACGATTTGTGCATTGACCAGTATCTAAATTTATATGCACTGTTGATAGTAGACTCAAGTTCATGTATCTTACAATAAACAAGTCGGCGCTTAGCCATTGAAACTTAAGATCAAGAGATCCTACTAAAGCCGCCATTTTGCATTATTAGCCGGTTCTGTCCGTTAATTAAGAGAAGCTAAGCAAGGTACAGAAGAGAAGTCGAGCAAATGAAGCCGGAGATTGGGGAATGTCAGATTAGTATAGCGGAGTTGAGTTAGTCTAAGCTAATCCTCACTGGAATGCCAAGTGTCAGTCGATAAGCCAAGCACGTCTCCACCAGCTGGCCACATTTTACGGTTCACCATGTCAGAGATCTTCACTGGCCTTGCTGATGCTGTGCGAGTCAGCCAGAGGCATATTGATCAGCTGACGATGTATGCCTTGGCTGAAATTCTGCCTTCGTTGCAACAACCTGTCTTACTTTAAGACCGGAAGTGGCCGCATTCGAGGGTCGAGCGGGGTAACATGTCGCGTTCAGTGCTAATTGGATGTGGCTGCATCGATACGACGTACGTATCGAACGTTCCCTAAGATACGCTTTTATTTCTGACTGGCTCGGAGGCTCTATTTCTGGACTCCAGAAAGCTTGACTTCAAGCTCTACCGAACCAGCGCGTACAGTACAGAGTGGGTAGGGACCTTAACTGTGTGTAAGCCAGATTGGAAGCATGGTGAAAGTCGTAATTGTTCAACTGTACTTGACCCTTCGCCTTTTCGTCAACCGCTACCCTTAAGATCTATATGGCCAACGACGCGTCATTAAACAGTTACACACGCAATTAGCCCTAATATCAACACAATGAAACCTATTCGGAAGTGACGACACGCTATGATACTAGGGTAATATAAGCGGCAAGATGGATAGTTTCGGCGACGATGGTTATGTCGATTCCGAAATCTTCAAACGAATGCCATGGTTTGATACTCCTTTAGACGCCAACAGATCCTGTATTCGCCTTATTAAGTTACGGAGAGGAACCACGGACGACCCGCTAATCTGCAACTTTCTGGTGGTGTCCTTGAAGGACAAACCGGCCTATGACACATTGTCATATCCTTGGGGCGACGACAATATGACCAAGACAATCCTGGTTGATAACGTGACCTTCGAGATTACAGTAAATCTGGAGGAGTTCCTGCGTTGCCTAAGGTCACCGAATGCTGATTTAGTATTATGGGCTGATGCCCTCTGCATTGATCAGCAGAATGGAAGAGAAAAGAGTACTCAAATTGGACTAATGGCCCAAATATACCGGCAGGGAAAAGAAAACCATATTTGGTTTGGCGATTTTACACATTCATGGAAAGATGAGATTCTCTCGGATCCATTGTACGTTCCGACTTCACAATTTACTGAAGTTATGTGGGATCGAGCTGAGATATCCTGCTTCCGCGATCTGAAGTTGATACTAGAGGTTAATGGAGTAACACCGCATTCCCAACCAATGTCCGAAACGAGTGAAGAACCATCGTCAGGAGACCTTCTTCTGCTGGCTCTTGATACACTTGATCGTGTCACTAGCGGAAAGCACCTCTATGAGTTTCCTTTATTCTTAAATATCAACACTCTCGGTATGGGTCAAATTGTCATGAACAGACGCTGGCCTACAATCGTTGACTCTTTGCGATGGATTATAAGTCGCCCATGGTGGTCTCGGGTCTGGACATTACAAGAAGCTATACTACCACGTGTAGATTCTCTGGTGCACATAGGGTCTTCTTCGTTCCGCATTTCAAGGCTGCTAAATGGTGTCAGTTGTGTGATTGACCACCGCCAAAGTTGCTGCAAAAACATTGGGGGGATATGGATGGCAGAATATCAAAATTTTCCGTTTGCGCTATGGGAATCGGTTTCAGCGTTTGGCAAGATCGACAAAGTTTTATAGAATCTGGATCGGCAGCCCTAAGTATCAAAGATATCTTTGACTCAACACGGTCTCGGGAATGTAAAGATACCCGCGATTATTTCTTCGGTGTCCTAGGACTGCTATCCGACGAATGCCAGACATATTTTGCAAAACCGGGGTACTTTCGTACAAGCGCTGAGGTATTTGCTCAAGGCACAAAGTTGCTCTACATGGAAACCTCAAGTTTGGTAAATCTTCAGAAGGCAGTTGGTGCCAGAAGAACGGCGATCAAAAACCTGCCTTCTTGGGCAATCGACTTTAGTCAAAGATTGCCTGTAGGGAAAAGAGGAGAAGATCAGCGATGGAGCTTATATAATGCTTTCCCGAAGTCATCATACCAAGAAATCCGATATAAGCACGATCTCTAATTTAAGCTCTAATGGTTCAATTACTACCCGTATAACGCGATTAAATATAATAAGCATATATTATAAAAAGAACAATATAAAAAGGAAAGAACTTACCTAGTAAAAGTAAGTAAATAAGACTTATTTATATAATTAAAGTTTTAAAGGGCTAAAATTAAAAAAGTTAAAACTTAATATTATAAACGAAGTTTATAAATAAGTTATAAAACCTTATATAAATATAATTAATAAAGTGTTAAACGGTTAAACTTTAATAAAACGAGGTTATATAAAGATTATAAGATTACGTAGCCTTAATATAAGTTAAAAGTAATTTATATAAAGGATTTGTTGGAACATAGTCATCCGCGGTATCGCACGACCATATAGCCTAGTTAGTTACCGGCGTGCTGGTAGTAAGCCACCACAGCCACGATGTGGCTGTCGGCAGCCAGCAGCCGTACGGGTGAACCCCTATCTATAGATCACGTACGAGGGGAAGAATCCCTTCTTCTTCTTCGTACGATAGCGCTGAATAGATCTATTTGTCGCCTAAACTGTACGGAAAGAAATGAATAGAGAAGCCATTCCACAGGATTACTTATAAATAAAAGAGATTATTAATAAGTAAATAATAATTTAAAGTAGTTTAATTAACATTAATAAAAGAATAAATAAATATAATAAGGATCGGATTTCTTACTTTATATAAATAATCATTACTTTAGTAATTCATCTAAACATTTATCTTATTTATAAGTAAAGCTTACGCTTTAATAATTACACTTATAAATCTCTTTACTTAATATATTCAAAGGTCTATCTCTATAGTCTTTTATTCGTGGCTAGTATATCTTATTAACTTAAACCCCTTACATTATATTATTTATGGTTATATAACCCGATAGTATAATCGTCATAGAAATAACAGTTAAGCCGTTGTATATAGACGTCGGTCCATTGGGCTAGAGTCACATAAAGTTCTGTGTACTCGAGAACCAAAGCAAGCAAAGAACCCTGTTTAGGAACTGTCAACGCGTAACGCATGAAGACGGTGGCTGTTCTAGTGATGAATGACTTTCTAGCATTACTATAAATCACAGTAGCGGTGATTACTGATTTAGATTTTTGGGATTTCCAGCCGGCGGACTTCTGAAACAGATGATTTCGCTTAGGCACTACATCACGTGAACAAAATCCAATTTACGATGACGTAGTGCGTGAGAATTGTGTACATCACAGCTGTTTGACAAAATTGGCAGTCTGTGTTTCGTTGCACCACGCTAAGTTCCTTCTCTCGGTATGCCGGCCGTGACATTCGCTACTCTGAATACGCTGTAAGTGACCTATTACAGTATAACAGCCTGGTTGATATTGCCTAAAAGCAGTGTCTAACTTGGCCACCTTAGGGTTCGCATTAGTGCCCCAGGCAGCAAGAAGGTTTTAGCCACAAAGCGGCGCCGAGGGTCATTTAGTGCTTATGACTATCCACCAATAACTCCAACGCCTTCTAGCCGTCGAGTCGGGTCAACTTTTGATCCACCTCCGGTCAGCATGGCTGCCTAAACATCTACATAATACTACATAATACTACAGTACATAATAAGGCAGTGAATTATAAGTTGTCGTTAATAGTCCTGCCAAGAAACATTATATCTTATAGGAATACAATCTTTCTAAGACGTAGTTATAAACTATTACATAAAAGCGGTTGGAAAGCTAGCTGCCGTGGCATTCCCTAATCGTTTTAGAAGTGAATGAACTCAAAGCATAAAAAACAATGCCCTACTTCGAAAGAGACGGCGCCTTGTTGTTCTACATAACCGAAGGCCAGGGCCCGCCCGTCCTCTTCTTGCACGGCTGGGCATGTGACAGCCAAGACTTCATCTTCCAGATCCCCTTCCTGCAGGCCCTGGGCTACCACACCATTGCCTTCGACGCCCGCGGCCACGGCCGCTCCTCCACCCCACCAGTCTCCCACCCGGAACAGCTCCGACCCGAGGTGACGAGCGACGATGCCGTAGCCCTCCTGGCCCACCTGGGCATCGCGGCGCCCGTCCTTGTGCTCGGTCACTCCCTAGGCTGCCTGACAGCATCGCTGCTCGCGATCCGTGCGCCGCGGCTCGTGCGTGCTCTGGTTTTGGTCGACCCCATGTATTACCAGACGGCGGCGGCGCACGAGGGGTTCACAAGGGCGCTTGCCGGCGATGGCCGCGCACATGAGGTTCTCGGACGCTCGTTTGCGCAACCGGACGACAAGCCGGCTTGGTTGAGGACTTGGCATCGCATGAGGCTGCTGGCTACGCCGGAGTGGGTCGTTTATCAGGTTGCTTATCAGAAGAATGTCGTTGAGCCTGCTGTGGGCAACTGGGAGGTCGTGAGGGGGATGTTTGGGGGGAGAGGGTGTCCGAGGTTGGTAGTGCTTAAAGATGAGACCAATCTGGAAAAGGAGAGAAGTTTGGGCCTAGGAGAGAAGGATGGGTTGATGGTGCTGGACGGCGATCACTGGTTGCATGTTCAGGAGGCGGAGAGGTTTAATCAAATAGTAGGTAAATGGATCGACGATCTATGATCCGTTCAGTAGGTCGTACATGCTTCTTACTTTAATTAGTCCTGGAGTGAGTGATCATTTAAATTAAGTCTATTCTCTAGCTATATGGAAATGCGATAACGTTTGTACATAGTGTTTTAGTGCTGCTGTATCTTTATCTTTATTTTTATTACAACTTATATTTTACTGCTTCGATATAGTTCGCAATGATGCCATTAAACATATGTGATATAGCGGCACGGTCATTTGCTTCGTATTAATTAGGATTTGTTCACATCTAACAATCCTCTTATAGGACCCTACATAATAAAACATTTGAGATTCTCCCTTTTCGTAAGACTTTGAAAACAAGTTCCATTCCGCTAAGGAGTGTGCGACAAGAAGAAATATGAAAGGGATAAAGGGAAGCCAATAATACGCCCAGCCTGCTCAATAAACCCAATGATAACACTAATTATGATTTTTTAAAGCCTTTTCCCTTAACTATCGCTGCTTATTACTAACGTCGAATGTCCATTCCAAAGCCCATTACCCTAGATATGCGCAAGGAGCAACGTTGGTTAATTTGTAGGTCGTTCGGCTTGAGAGTCCCTTATCGTGTTATGTATTCTTAGTGGCTTTATAACTGTTCCTTTCTGTTACTAATTCTCGATTGGATGGTTTGCAAGCCTCTCCCTCGGTACCAGCCTTTATCTTTCCTATATTTGCACAACTTCTAAGAGTTTGCCTCCGGATACTCTTGTTACGAACGAAGGCCAGGAACCAGGCCTGAAGTGGAGAAAGGAAGCATGGACCAGCCAGTCACCACTGCTGAGATTCCATTGGACAAAAGACAGCACAGGACTCTGGGTCACGTGACTTGGGAGCCACACAGGGACGGCGCTTCATGCGACTCTAGGAGCGATGAAGGCGCCGCGCTCCCAGCGCTGCGCTCCCAGCGCTCCAGGAGCGACAGGAGCATCGCGCTCCCAGCGCTCCAAGGAGTATCAGTAAAAGAATGAATGGATATAATAAGGATTGGATTTCCTACTCTACATAGACAGTCATTACTTCAGTGATCAATCTAAGCATCTATCTTACCCATAGGTGAAGCTCACGCTTTGACGACTACACTTGTGAATCTCTATTGCTCAGTATACTCGAAGGTCTATCTCTATAGTCTTCTATTCGTGGCTAGCATATCTTGTTAGCATAAACCCCCTTGCATTATATTATTTGTGGTTGTGCAACCCGATAGTATAATCGTCACATTTTGATCACTCTTGTTCAGGTACGTTATCCGCGAAAAGTACTAAGCAATATCTAGGCACTATGTCTTCCGTTGGAAATAGATCATCTTCCAAGCAGCCGGCACGAAGCCTGGCGCAGGAAATGGAAGAAGACGACTTCGAACTCACCAAGGATCAATACCTCGAGTTGGTTACAAGAATCAAGTCCCTTAAGCGAGAAGAAGTACGCAAGGATACTGTGATCAAGGAACTCCAAGACACGAACAACGCCATGACGGGCGCAGCTAGGATTATTTCCACCCCCGTCAAACCAGAGAACCTTCGACTCAGTACTCCCGCTGCATTTGATGGTACCCCCGGAGCTCTCCGAGGATACCTGGCTTAGGTGCGAGCCTATCAGACATTCTACGGCAACAACTTCAAGGACGACACTCAGAAAGTCCTTCACGCCGCTTCATTCCTGAAAGGACGAGCCCTCGCATGGTTCGAACCTTATCTCTCTGAAGCCGCCGAAAATGAATGGCAGCTAGAACTCTGTAAAGGAGAAACACAGAAGATCTTCGAAACATACACCGGTTACGAGACCGCACTCAGATCATTGTTTCAAGATCCCGACGAGAAACGACAAGCCGAAAGAGAACTTGAGCACCTTAAACAGAAAGGATCTGTATCCGGATACACGGTAGACTTTAAGAGAGTCATCGCCAGGATGGATTGCACCGACGACACCAAGATCATGCTGTATTACCAAGGGCTTAAGGAAGATGTCAAGGATGAGATTAGCAGAATCCTTGAACCCCCAATGGAATTTGGAAGGTATAGCGAATTGGTTATCAGGATCGACAACCAGCTATACGCGAGGAAGACCGAACGACGCAGTAACGGAGGACAGAATCGTTACCAGAAAGCACAGGCAAACACCGGCAAACCTCGACAGAACAACCGACCAAACAACGAATGGCGAAACAAAACTTCGTATGGCAACCATAGTGGACCCATGGACCTCGACGCCACCAAGCGCGACAAACCTAGGAAGGACCAAAAGGACAAGACCAACATCACTTGCTACAACTGTAACAAGAAGGGCCACTACGCCAACGAATGCCGACAACCTAAGAAGGAAGGTTTCAAACCCGTTCCGGAAGGAAGATAGGCTCAAGTAGCCACCAGAACCAGCAATACGGAAGAACGACAAGTCAACGTGACCACCCGTATCGAACCACCACACGAGGACTTGCATTGGACATTTTGCTACGACGACAGCTGTAGCACGCACGCTTCGAGCAAAAGGGACTAGGGATGGTACCCTTCTAAGCCACGCAACTTCCACATGGTTCGGAGACAACTAGTAACACAGGCAGAAGACACGTACAGTAGTTCAGAGGAACACATACGGGCTGCCCAGGAATATGACGGACCCACACGTCTAGAAAACGAATCCGAGTACGAATCGGAAGACAGTCTCGAAGAAGACGCACGTCTCTCGGTAGAACGAGAAGACGCCGAACAGAAGAATTACCAAGGAAAACTCCACCGAAAGAACAGTATAGCGAAACTTCGATACCTTATAGATCGAGCTATTCGAACACAAGAGTTTCCACGAACACTCGCCGAGAACACCCTCGAGGAAGATGGGGTCATAATCCTCGTAAGGCAGTCATTCCACACCCCACAAGAATTACACCAAATCCTCAACGACGCACAACAACCTGGCGCCACAGGATGGGAAAAATGGACACCAGGAGCCATATTTGGAGATCACCAAACACTGTCCAGAAATAACATAACACATGGAGCACTGGACTGGACTACATGCATCGACCGGAACTATGCGTTCCACCTCGAAGACAAACTAAAGCATGAGTTCTTCCTAAGCAGGTTCGCCTTATAGTCAATCAACGACCCTTACGTGGCCGGAGCAATTGGAGAGATAGTGGTATAATACCGAGACCCGTAGGGATACGCTATTATCACCCCGGACCCTCGCTAATACTTCGCTTGCCTTAAGGGACAAGTTAATTGGGACCAATGCCCGAACAACTACTACATGGAACACGCCGACCAGAAGTGTCGCGCGTGGAGAGGATTATAATAATATCACCAACGAAACGCATTCCGTATCGTAAAAACCACGATGGACACGAGGTTAGATCAGTTAATCTACCACCTCACACGGAACCCAGAAAGACGTATCAACCTCCGAGAACTTAACGATGTTTCGGAGATAAGCGATCAACTAAGGGAACGACAAAACAAGAAAACCCCTAGTGTCGATGATAGTAGCGACACCATGGACGAAGATTCCGACGAAGGACTAACAGGAATCGAAATTATCAGAAAAGACCTTATGAAAGGGCCAGCCCCTTAGGAAGGATACGACGATCACAGATATCTACTCGAGGAAGTCGATCGAAGAATGTACCAAGAATACGACGATAGTAACGACTGGCCGTCATTTAGGGAAATATATCGGGACGTTTACCGACAATGGGGACAACTTAGTCTTGAGTTGTATCGCCAGAGAACTAACATCGAACCAACAAATCAAGTTACGATTTATAGACGCGCACTAACCCCTGACAATCTACCTAGTAGTAGAATCCAGAGATGGATACGAGATCGACAACACGAGCTGGAACAAGACGGAGTCATTCCACCTCAGACAGAAACATTGCGAAACTACGCAATCCTCGCGATGACCGCGACAGGACGACGAGCCAATACCCTAGGAACTCAAGAGGAGGATTACGAAGCCGAGGAACGGCGTAGGTACGCTCAGGCTGTACAAGAAGCCACAGAACGTCGAGAGCGACGCCGACCTATCAAGAAAGGATCGGGAAAAGAACCCAACCGTCTGTAACGGGACAGCAACGGTTAGAAGAAAGGTCCCTGTACATTGCCATAACCAACATACATGATCACCTCACGATAAAGGTTCGAATCATGGGACACGATATTAAGGCCCTAGTAGACACGGGTGCTCAAGGAAATTTTATCTCGCCACAAATCGTTAACAGGCTCCAAATCGATTAAAAGCAGAAAAAGACGCCCTACACACTCAGGACGGTAGATGGAGAATTCGTTACTTACGACAACGGACTCGTAAGCAGAGAGACTGCGCATATCCCCGTTTACATCCAAGATCGAAAGGAACAACTCCAATGCGATATCACCGAAATTACGGACTACGACTTAGTCCTAGGGATACCTTAGTTACGAGCGAGCAATCCCAGAGTAAACTGGATCACAGGCCATTTCTAGTGGGATACACCAAGTAGAGACTTAACCTCTAAGAAGCGTTCCAGGGAACCCTCAAGCAAGCCTAAGACATTTGGATTCTATCTAGTAACCAAAGATGTCAAACTAAACTCAACAAAAACAATACCCGAAGAGTACGACAAGTTCAGGAAACTGTTTAGCAAAAAGCTCGACACAGGATTACCGCCGCATTCGGTATTTAACCATGAGATTCCACTCCAAGAGGGAAAGGAACCCAGATTCATAAAAATCTACCCGGTCAAACCTTAGCACGAAGAAGTGTTAAAAGAACATATAGTTAAAGGACTCAGAAAAGGAATTATCCGAGCATTAACATTATTAACAAGCTTTCCAGTACTATTTATACCCAAGAAAAGCCACGACGGAAGTATTAAATAGAGAATGTACATCGATTATCGAGAACTCAACGAAATCACAAAAAAGAATCGTTACCCCTTACCCTTAATCAAGGACCTACGCGACAAGTTACACGGAGCCTAATGGTTTACGGCCCTAGACTTGCCTAACGCATACAACTTAATTAGGATTAAGGAAGGCGACGAATGGAAAACGGCATTCAAGACCAAGTACGGTCACTTTGAATACCTAGTCATGCCATTCGGCTTAACCAATGCACCAGCCAGCTTCCAGAATATGATCAATACGGTACTACGAGAATGCCTCGACGACTT